ACTGACTTAACTATATCTGCATTTACCAGAGACAGACTCTTCTCTCTTTTAACCATGTGACGTCACAGTTTTTAAAAATGAGTCCAAAGTGGTACTGCAGCCTCTCCCACTCTCCCTGACTCAGGTTGCCAGATATGCAGACGAATCCAGCTGGGACCATAACAGCTGAATAGACAAGAGTTTTGGCAACAACAAATCTATAACCAACACCTTTTTCACAAAGATAGAAATCCTGGTTTTATTCCTTTTTTTTGTCGTTAATGATTTGAGAATCATAACGAGACCTTTTTTAGTTCTGCGCCAAATTCAAATATCTCTGAACAACTGTTATCAGTTAAAAAAGTATTGGAAAAGAGCAGTTTATTATTATGACAGATTAGGGTCCTTTAAAAGTATATATTCTGTATTTTTAACACTCTTGTACATGTATTCCAACGTGGTTTTACTGCAAATGGCAAATGATTCTGAATGTTTGGTGTCTATCCCACACAGGTCAGAAAACACTACTGTCTCCAGCGTTAGTGAAAGTTTCCCACACTGTTCATAGTGAGAGCGTTGCAGCCGCTTCATCAGGGACGGGTCTTTGGGCGGGTCTTTGGGCGGGTCTTTGGACGGTTGTGTCGGAGTGAAAAGCAAAGGGAGAGGACGAGGAATCGATCTCAAAACGACAGTCACAGGAGAGAAGAAAACACACTTTTTAAAGAATCTAAAAAGGGAGAGAGAATAAGTCTGGACACCCATCTGCTTTCTTCTTCTTCGTACTCATTTATCGCGCTAAAGTAATTCTTGCTTCTTCATTAAGATAGAGATTTTATACTTGTTTATTTTTTATGCTTAAGCTACATTGCTCATTCTTCTGCTCTGTACCGGGTGATGCAACACTGACATTTCTAACCACTGTGGGACCTTCCTTTGCATCTTTCCTTCAGCCTTTAGGTCAAACTCAGGCCTGAGAGCCAAATCCGGCCGCGAAAACCATTGTTAGTGGCCCTTCAAATGATTTTATATGATCGTTATCGCAGTAACGTTCAGCATTGATGGTAATGGGCTTCTATGGCATGTTATACCTCATCTTAAAGCTAATCGTCTCAGGAAAACAACAGTATAATTTAATCTGTGCTAAAATATGAACTAGGAAGTCATTAGAACAGGAATGTCCGAACTTTCACGTGGCCCTCTGTCTTTGCTAACCCAAAGTAGTTCACTGCATCATCCATCCAACTTCAGCTCAGCCAATACACACACGTCATAACTCATTCTAAAGCCCGTACGTTTGGAAATCCGCCGTAGATTTTATTTGTACATAATTTACGGTCTTGTGGCTTTTGATTGTGTCACAAACTTCTGTTAATGATGCTAACGAGGCTGGTGAGGTGGTAAACATGTGTCATTCAGCCAACTTCAGCTCTGTTATGGATCATTTTAAAGCTCAGAACAGCCCGATCCCAGTCTAGACAGATTAGGGCCCTTTAATGATGACGGATTAGGGCCCTTTAATGATGACGGATTAGGGCCCTTTAATGATGACAGATTAGGGCCCTTTAATGATGACAGTGAGGAGGTAAATATGTGTCATTCAGCCAACTTCAGCCCTGTTATGGATCATTTTAAAGCTCAGAACAGCCTGGTCTCAGTCTAGACAGTTTTTCAGTCTGTGGTGTCGGACCCTGGACTAGTCTGGGGAACTACAGTGGCTCTTACTAATATGTTTGGACACCCCTGCGTTAGAAGTTAGGATTTATTATGTATTTTATTATATGATTATTTTCTATAATGATCACTTCTGGCCCTTTTTGCTCTGATGTTTTTAAACGTGGCCCATGAAGAGTCTGACCCCTGCTCTTTGCCTCACAGTGGGATTTGAACCTTTTCTCTCCAAACCTGAAGCGAGGTGGAGCCACAGCCACAGAAACGGGTTAAAATCATGGGTTTACAGATAAAGTGCATCATTGCCGTGTTTTAAGGTGAAGTGTGACTTTTTATACAACGTTTAAACCACAGAAAGTACAAGAGCGGCGAGTTCCGGAGATGTCCACACGAGGGCGCCATGACGGGGGCGGAGTCTAGTCCTCTGCAAGCCGTGGGGATGGACAGAGAGGCAGAGAGAGGGGAGGGGAGAGGGGGAGGGAGGGGGAGCCAGCCAAAAGGCAAAAAGAACCAAAGAGGAGGTGGGACATGAACGTAAAAGTTTGAGCAGAAATAACCGAAAGGGGAGGAGATAAAAAGTAAGTTAGTGAAGCAGTAAACCAATAGAAACGCATCAAGAGAAACTGGACCAATCGAAGGGTTGGAAAATGTCTTTCACTTTAAACTTCATCAACATCTGTGGATCCAGTTTGAAATGCATTGTTTTTTCCCCTAAAGTCGGGGAACTCCACTTAAGACGAGACAACACAGAACTTTATCAAAAGGTCTTTAGAGCCAAATCTGATTTAATAGAAAAAAATTATTAATAAAACTGTACAAAGTTGAACAAGACTTCATACTATTATTGTTTTGTGTTGATTTTTCAGGTAAAGTGTGTTCTGTGACTTCTGGTCCTCGCAGTGATTGGTCAATATTTCAAAACCTTGTAAAGTCAGTAACACTGAGCGTGCCATGCAGAGGGAGCATGCAGCAGGCTACACACAGACACACACACAAAGACACACACACACACACACACACAGAGACACACACAGACACACACACACACACACACACAGACACATACACACATCCACACAGAGACACACACATACACACACACACAGAGACACACATCCACACACACACAGAGACACACATACACACATCCACACACACACAGAGACACACACACATATACACATCCACACACATACACACACACACACACACACATCCACACACAGACGCACCTAAAAAACGCGAGGGGGTTAGACATTTATTGTCTGATGGCAAATTGGTCACCTATCACCTAGCCCCGCCCCTTTCCCTGAACTAGATTATCTCAAACAGTCACCAGCTCAAGTGGAAACACGTGACATCACAACTTTCTACAGTGACATTATGCTTTGAACAATACAAACGGTACAGACCTCTGTGGGAGGTGCAATACTGTGGTATACAGACCCCTGTGGGAGGTGCAATACTGTGGTATACTGACCTCTGTGTGGGAGGTGCAATACTGTGGCATACAGACCTCTGTGTGGGAGGTGCAATACTGTGGCATACTGACCTCTGTGTGGGAGGTGCAATACTGTGGCATACTGACCTCTGTGTGGGAGGTGCAATACTGTGGTATACTGACCTCTGTGTGGGAGGTGCAATACTGTGGTATACAGACCTCTGTGTGGGAGGTGCAATACTGTGGTATACAGACCTCTGTGTGGGAGGTTCAATACTGTGGTATATAGACCTCTGTGAGAGGTGCAATACTGTGACATACAGACCTCTGTGTGGGAGGTGCAATACTGTGGTATACAGACCTCTGTGGGAGGTGCAATACTGTGGTATACAGACCTCTGTGTGGGAGGTGCAATACTGTGACATACAGACCTCTGTGTGGGAGGTGCAATACTGTGGTATTCAGACCTCTGTGTGGGAGGTGCAATACTGTGGTATACAGACCTCTGTGTGGGAGGTGCAATACTGTGGTATTCAGACCTCTGTGTGGGAGGTGCAATACTGTGGTATACTGACCTCTGTGTGGGAGGTGCAATACTGTGACATACAGACCTCTGTGTGGGAGGTGCAATACTGTGGTATTCAGACCTCTGTGTGGGAGGTGCAATACTGTGGTATACAGACCTCTGTGTGGGAGGTGCAATACTGTGGTATTCAGACCTCTGTGTGGGAGGTGCAATACTGTGGTATTCAGACCTCTGTGTGGGAGGTGCAATACTGTGGTATACAGACCTCTGTGTGGGAGGTGCAATACTGTGGTATTCAGACCTCTGTGTGGGAGGTGCAATACTGTGGTATTCAGACCTCTGTGTGGGGGGTGCAATACTGTGGTATACAGACCTCTGTGTAGGAGGTGCAATACTGTGGTATTCAGACCTCTGTGTGGGAGGTGCAATACTGTGGTATTCAGACCTCTGTGTGGGAGGTGCAATACTGTGGTATTCAGACCTCTGTGTGGGAGGTGCAATACTGTGGTATACAGACCTCTGTGTGGGAGGTGCAATACTGTGGTATACAGACCTCTGTGTAGGAGGTGCAATACTGTGGTATTCAGACCTCTGTGTGGGAGGTGCAATACTGTGGTATACAGACCTCTGTGTAGGAGGTGCAATACTGTGGTATACAGACCTCTGTGTAGGAGGTGCAATACTGTGGTATACAGACCTCTGTGTAGGAGGTGCAATACTGTGGTATACAGACCTCTGTGGGAGGTGCAATACTGTGGTATACAGACCTCTGTGTGGGAGGTGCAATACTGTGGTATATTCTTGTATTGAAATTGTGCAGTGGAATGTCCTGATAAAGTGTGTTTATCTCAAAGACAAAGGTACAGATGACCCTTGACCCTTTCATTGCAGAGGACACAGGAGCAGTCAGGCCTCAGGTTGTCATGGTGACACATGCTGTGGACCATGCAGACACTAGAAGAACATGCAAAGGGCTCCCCCTGCTGTCACAGAGGCACCACTGCAGTCTGTCCATCCCAGAGGCGTGTCTCCATGGCAACAAGGAACAAAAGGAACTAGAGACTCATCCAACTGAAACATCTGATGCTCAACATGAAGACCTGTATCGAATACTACAGTTTACAAAATGGACGATGAGAGCGAAGTCATAAACACCTGATGGATCCAACACACATCTGTCTTTAAGGATCAACTGCTCTGAACGGACTCATGCTTTTGACTCTAGTGCAGACATGATGATGGTGAGAGGAGCAGAGGAGGAGAAGAGGATGAGCAGGAGCAGAGGAGGAGGAGAAGAGGAGCAGGAGCAGAGGAGAGAGAGGAGGAGCAGGAGGAGAGGAGGAGGAGAGGAGGAGCTTAGTAATGTGTAGAAGGGTGAGGTCTTACCGGGCTTCTGCACTCCCTGCACCTCCTTGTTCCCGTTCTCCAGCGCTGATCCCACTGCTGCACACAACACACACTGGGTTTGAAGGTTTGTCCAGGAGCACATAGCAGGGACCCGCCCCAAACAGCAGGGACCCCCCCTCCAACAGCAGGGACCCCCACAACATCAGGGACCCGCCCCAAACATCAGGGACCCCCCCCCCCCCAACAGCAGGGACCCCCACAACATCAGGGACCCGCCCCAAACATCAACAGCAGGGACCCCCACAACTTCAGGGACCCCCCCCAAACATTAGGGGCCCCCCAACATCAGGGACCCCCCCCCAAACATTAGGGGCCCCCCAACATCAGGGACCCCCCCAAACATCAGGGAACTCACACCAACTCAAATTTCTGAGGGAATATCAAGTGTTATCACCTACACTTTTAATTACAGGAATAAATCCATAATTCAGTGTCTCCTTTTGTTATCTACATGTGGTTTTAGTGGACCCTGTGAGTCACTATTTGACCCTGTGAGTCACTATTTGTTGTGTAGCTAACCATTAAGACAGCGCACTCCCCCCTCCCCTCCCCCCTCCTCACCTGCTCGGGGGTCGTGGTTGTCCAGCAGGGGGATGTAGTCGGTCTTGCCCACGGTCTCTCCCACCTGGTCCTCGAAGGTCTCGGCCTCCAGCTGAGCCACAAAGTCCCGCTCCACCCGTGTTTCCGGACTGGGCTGGGGGGCCCCGTCTGTGAGGACCCCGTCTGTGAGGGCGTCACTAAGGCTCAGGTCCAACTCCGCCATGACTGCGGACCACAGGGACACCAGGGCATCAGGGGGAATTCTCACACAGAGACTACACCAGGGCACCAGAGGGTCCTTCCATGGTCCTTACAGCACCAGGGCATCAGGGGTTCTACCAGTCCATTGTGTTTAGTGTGAGGTTGGAACTCATGTATCACAGGGACTTTTCCTCTTTCATCTAAAAACAACTCTTTCACATGATCAGAGACACAGCTTTAGCAAAACAAAGGTGTTGTAGAAGCAGAAACACAGGTGAACAGCGCCCTCTGCTGCACACAGGCCTCACTACAACAACAGAGACCAGAGCTGCTTCAAACAGATGTGTGTGTGTGTGTGTGTGTGTGTGTGTGCGTGCGTGCGTGTGTGTGTGCGTGTGTGCGTGTGTGTGTGTATGTGTGTGTCTGTGTGTGTGTGTGTGTGTGTGTGTGTGTGTGTGTGTCTGTGTGTCTCTGTGTGTGTGTGTGTGTGTGTGTGTCTGTGTGTCTGTGTGTGCGTCTCTGTGTGTGCGTGTGCGTGTGCGTGTGTGTGTGTGTGTGTTCCACAGAATCAGAGTAAGAGCAAACACACACTGATTATACGGTAGTTCGAGTGGGAGGAGCTTCCTGTGGAGAGAGACCAGAGAGAGCAGGGACCAGAAAGAGCAGGAACCAGAAAGAGCAGGGACCAGAGAGAGCAGGGACCAGAAAGAGCAGGAACCAGAAAGAGCAGGAACCAGAAAGAGCAGGAACCAGAAAGAGCAGGGACCAGAGAGAGCAGGAACCAGAAAGAGCAGGGACCAGAGAGAGCAGGGACCAGAAAGAGCAGGAACCAGAAACAGCAGGTACCAGAAAGAGCAGGGACCAGAGAGAGCAGGGACCAGGGTGAGGGCGAAGCAAACCACGTCCAAAAAACACCAGCTTATCAGAATGAAAATTATTTGTATTATACATTTATATAACTAAATATAGAATCTAGCACGGTGGCTGAGTGGATAGCACTCTCGCCTCTCAGCAAGAAGGTCCTGGGGTCGAATCCCAGTCGGACCAGGGCCTTTCTGAGTGGAGTTTGCATGTTCTCCCCGTGTCTGCGTAGGTTTCCTCCGGGTACTCCGGTTTCCCCTACCACTAAAAATATGTCCAATAGTTCTGGCATGTGCCTCCTGTACTGGCCCCGCTCCCATCTCTGTGTGGAGCGAGAGACAAATGCCCAAAAAAAATTAACAATTGTAAACCACTTTGAGACTCAGATCTGCAGTGAAAAGGCGGTATATAAATAAAAACTTACTTACTTACTACTTACAAAAAATGTGTTTAAATTACTGCTGCATACAAGGGCAGGAGGGAGCACAGGGACTAGCCTCCTGCTGGGACTCGCCTCCTGCTGGGACTTTGAGGAGCACAGGGCCTGGCCTCCTGCTGGGACTCTGAGGAGCACAGGGACTGGACTCCTGCTGGGACTCTGAGGAGCACAGGGACTGGCCTCCTGCTGGGACTCTGAGGAGCACAGGGACTGGACTCCTGCTGGGACTCTGAGGAGCACAGGGACTGGCCTCCTGCTGGGACTCTGAGGTTTTATGACGTGTGTTTCGTGCAGTGACACAGTTTGCTTTAATTATTAAGTAGATTATACAAAGAATCTGACTCATGCTTCCTGTGGTGTCCCTGTGATCTCCCACGCAGACGCTACAACATTTATGAATGAACAGCAGCCCACAACACACCACACACCCCAGTTATCTCTGCTTAGGGCTGGACACACATGTATTTGAATTTCTCTGCAAAAATGTCTGATATTTGGAGCCTTTTTCTATTTGTATTAAACCTACTGTTGTGATTCAGGGCGATAGAAAAACACATAGACTTGAGCTACACAATCAATGTGAGAACTCAGAGACACACATGGTCCTTCACATGGTCCTTCAGAGTCCACATGGTCCTGGGGTGGGTTGTGTCTGCACAGTGAGGACTTCCTCTGCATCTCTCTCGGAACTAATCTGGTTTCAACAAAGGAAGGAAATCCAGCGCTTGTGTTTCTACAGCTCTGACAAATGAGCTCCATGTTGTTCCGGCTGAGACCGAGACCAGGAGAGAGACCAGAGAGAGAGACCAGAGAGAGACCAGGAGAGAGACCAGAGAGAGAGACCAGAGAGAGACCAGAGAGAGACCAGAGAGAGAGACCAGAGAGAGACCAGAGAGAGAGACCAGAGAGAGAGACCAGAGAGAGATCAGGAGAGAGACCAGAGAGAGACCAGAGAGAGACCAGAGAGAGAGACCAGAGAGAGACCAGAGAGAGACCAGAGAGAGAGACCAGAGAGAGACCAGAGAGAGACCAGGAGAGAGACCAGGGAGAGACCAGAGAGAGACCAGAGAGAGACACCAGAGAGAGACACCAGAGAGAGAGACCAGAGAGAGACCAGAGAGAGAGACCAGGGAGAGACCAGAGAGAGACCAGAGAGAGACACCAGAGAGAGAGACCAGAGAGAGACCAGAGAGAGAGACCAGAGAGAGACCAGAGAGACACCAGAGAGAAAGACCAGAGAGAGAGACCAGAGAGAGAGACCAGAGAGAGACCAGAGAGAGAGACCAGAGAGAGACACCAGAGAGAAAGACCAGAGAGAGAGACCAGAGAGAGAGACCAGAGAGAGAGACCAGAGAGAGACACCAGAGAGAAAGACCAGAGAGAGAGACCAGAGAGAGACCAGGAGAGAGACCAGGGAGAGAGACCAGAGAGAGAGACCAGAGAGAGAGACCAGAGAGAGACCAGAGGGAGACCAGAGAGAGACCAGAGAGACACCAGAGAGAAAGACCAGAGAGAGAGACCAGAGAGAGAGACCAGAGAGAGACCAGAGAGAGACCAGAGAGAGAGACCAGAGAGAGACACCAGAGAGAAAGACCAGAGAGAGAGACCAGAGAGAGAGACCAGAGAGAGAGACCAGAGAGAGACACCAGAGAGAAAGACCAGAGAGAGAGACCAGAGAGAGACCAGGAGAGAGACCAGGGAGAGAGACCAGAGAGAGAGACCAGAGAGAGAGACCAGAGAGAGAGACCAGAGAGAGCTCCTCCCCCTGCAGTGGGCACAGGACTCCGGGTTGGGCAGGAGGCGACCAGTGGAGCAGTAAAAGCTGCCTCCTCTGTGACCGCTGGGAGCCCCATGATTACAGGGGTCAGAAACACACCAGGCCCAGACGGTGACATCACTGCTGTCTGTGCGCCCTGTGATGTCACACTCAGGAAAAGGACTCGCACAAAGATCAGACTTTGGGATTCAGGAGTTTGGGATTTATCAAGATTTATCAAAAGGCACACACTGTATCATTGGGTTGAACTACTGTTGAATGTGGAGCAGTCATAAAGAACACACACACACGGACTCTGGGAGGGTCCTGGTGTTATTGCAGAGTTCAGCTGTGTGTGAGTTCAGCTCTGTGTGTGTGTGTGTGTGTGTGTGTGTGTGTGTGTGTGTGTGTGTGTGTGTGTGTGTGTGTGTCCAATCCAATCCAATCCAATCCACTTTATTTATATAGCACATTTAAACAACAAAACGTTTCCAAAGTGCTGAACAACAATAACAATAAAACAAAAACAATACAAATGAGCTCCACCAAATAAATAGAAATAAAAAAAATTAAAAGACTGAATAGAAATAAAAACACATTAAAAACTACAAATAAAAATAAAATTCAATAAAATAGATAAAAAGACACAGGGGGACCACACAACTTACGCGGTGCTAAAAGCCAAAGAATAAAAGTGAGTCTTAAGACGGGATTTAAAACACTCCACGGTGGGGGCCGTACGGATGTGGAGGGGCAGAGCGTTCCACAGCTTAGGGCCGACAATGGAGAACGCTCTGTCCCCTCTGGTTTTACGGTTCATCTTCAGAACCACGAGCTGGAGCTGGCCCTCAGACCTCAAAGCGCGAGAGGGCCGGTAAATTTGGATGAGGTCTGTAATATACTGAGGGGCCAGTCCATTCAAAGCTTTAAAAACAAACAATAAAATTTTAAAATCAATTCTAAAATTAACAGGGAGCCAGTGCAAGGACGCAAGGATTGGGGTAATATGTTCGCGTTTTTTGGTCCCTGTTAAGAGTCGTGCCGCAGCGTTCTGGACTAACTGCAAACGAGAGAGTGCTTTCTGGCTAATTCCCGAGTAAAGTGCGTTACAGTAGTCCAGACGGCTTGAAATAAAAGCGTGCACGACTTGCTCAAAAAGATTAAAAGATAAAAAGGGCTTAACTTTAGATAAAAGACGAAGATGATAAAAACCCGATTTTAAAACGCCATTAATCTGTTTATCAAATTTAAAATCACTGTCTATGGTGACGCCAAGGCTGGTGACCTTGGGATGCAAATAGTTTTGGAGTGATCCCAAGTCCGTGAGGTTACATCCAAATGTCATTACTTCTGTTTTTCCCTCGTTCAGTTTTAAAAAATTCTGGGCTAACCAAGCCTTGACGTCACCTAGACAGTCGAGCAGGGGTGTCAGGGGGCTGTGGTCATTCTTAGCAATGGGCATGTACATTTGACAGTCATCTGCATAAAAGTGGTAAGACATGCCATGTTTCTTAAAAATCTCTCCAAGTGGGAGGAGATATATTGCAAACAAAATGGGTCCCAGGATAGATCCCTGGGGGACTCCACAGTGAAGCGGAGCAGAAGATGAAGTGGAGTCCCCCAGCCTGACGGAGAATGACCTCTCCGACAGGTAGGACCTAAACCACTCTAACGCGGTCCCCCTGACACCCACGCGATCTCTAAGGCGGTCTAAAAGAATTGTGTGGTCGACTGTGTCAAAAGCAGCCGTTAGGTCTAAAAGCACTAAAATGGCAGAGCCTCCAGAATCAGTCAGTGTGTGTGTGTGTGTGTGTGTGTGTGTGTGTGTGTGTGTGTGTGTGTGTGTGTGTGTGTGATGCAGAGATGAAGTAAATGCACAGGAGCAAAACAGACCTTCTGGAATCTATTGACTTTTTAATGCACTAATGATGCATTGATTCAGCCCAGAGCTAACGGCGCTAACGCTAAGAGCTGCTGGAGAGCCGGGATGGGTCAACAACAGCAACATCCGAGGTTTAAACCATGGAGGTAAGATTCAGAGGGCAGTGATACAGACAGAGACAGAGACAGAGACAGAGACAGAGGCAGAAAGGCAGAGACAGAGGCAGAGGCAGAGGCAGAGAGGCAGAGACAGAGGCAGAGGCAGAGACAGAGAGGCAGAGACAGAGGCAGAGGCAGAGACAGAGGCAGAGGCAGAGACAGAGGCAGAGACAGAGGCAGAGGCAGAGGCAGAGGCAGAGAGAGACAGAGACAGAGACAGAGGCAGAGACAGAGGCAGAGGCAGAGACAGAGGCAGAGACAGAGGCAGAGGCAGAGGCAGAGGCAGAGACAGAGGCAGAGGCAGAGGCAGAGAGGCAGAGACAGAGAGGCAGAGACAGAGGCAGAGGCAGAGGCAGAGACAGAGGCAGAGGCAGAGGCAGAGACAGAGGCAGAGACAGAGACAGAGGCAGAGGCAGAGACAGAGGCAGAGGCAGAGACAGAGGCAGAGGCAGAGGCAGAGAGGCAGAGGCAGAGACAGAGACAGAGGCAGAGACAGAGGCAGAGGCAGAGGCAGAGGCAGAGACAGAGGCAGAGGCAGAGACAGAGGCAGAGACAGAGGCAGAGGCAGAGAGGCAGAGACAGAGGCAGAGGCAGAGGCAGAGGCAGAGGCAGAGGCAGAAAGGCAGAGACAGAGGCAGAGGCAGAGGCAGAGACAAAGACAGAGGCAGAGACAGAGGCAGAGACAGAGGCAGAGACAGAGGCAGAGGCAGAGGCAGAGACAGAGGCAGAGACAGAGACAGAGGCAGAGGCAGAGGCAGAGACAGAGGCAGAGACAGAGACAGAGGCAGAGACAGAGGCAGAGACAGAGGCAGAGACAGAGACAGAGGCAGAGACAGAGGCAGAGGCAGAGGCAGAGGCAGAGACAGAGGCAGAGACAGAGACAGAGGCAGAGGCAGAGGCAGAGGCAGAGACAGAGACGGAGGCAGAGACAGAGGCAGAGGCAGAGGCAGAGACAGAGGCAGAGACAGAGGCAGAGACAGAGACAGAGGCAGAGAGGCAAAGACAGAGGCAGAGGCAGAGACAGAGACTGAGAGGCAGAGACAGAGACAGAGGCAGAGACAGAGACAGAGGCAGAGGCAGAGACAGAGGCAGAGGCAGAGAGGCAGAGACAGAGGCAGAGACAGAGGCAGAGGCAGAGGCAGAGACAGAGGCAGAGGCAGAGGCAGAGACAGAGGCAGAGACAGAGACAGAGGCAGAGGCAGAGGCAGAGGCAGAAAGGCAGAGACAGAGGCAGAGGCAGAGGCAGAGACAGAGGCAGAGGCAGAGACAGAGACAGAGGCAGAGACAGAGGCAGAGACAGAGGCAGAGACAGAGGCAGAGGCAGAGGCAGAGAGGCAGAGGCAGAGGCAGAGACAGAGAGGCAGAGACAGAGACAGAGACAGAGGCAGAGAGGCAGAGACAGAGGCAGAGACAGAGACAGAGGCAGAGGCAGAGACAGAGACTGAGAGGCAGAGACAGAGACAGAGACAGAGACAGAGACAGAGGCAGAGGCAGAGGCAGGGGCAGAGACAGAGACAGAGACTGAGACAGAGGCAGAGGCAGAGGCAGAGGCAGAGACAGAGGCAGAGTCAGAGACAGAGGCAGAGACAGAGGCAGAGACAGAGGCAGAGACAGAGGCAGAGACAGAGACAGAGACTGAGACAGAGGCAGAGGCAGAAAGGCAGAGACAGAGGCAGAGGCAGAGACAGAGGCAGAGACAGAGGCAGAGACAGAGGCAGAGACAGAGACAGAGGCAGAGACAGAGGCAGAGGCAGAGGCAGAGGCAGAAAGGCAGAGACAGAGGCAGAGGCAGAAAGGCAGAGACAGAGGCAGAGACAGAGGCAGAGGCAGAGGCAGAGGCAGAGGCAGAAAGGCAGAGACAGAGGCAGAGGCAGAAAGGCAGAGACAGAGGCAGAGGCAGAGGCAGAGGCAGAGGCAGAGACAGAGGCAGAGGCAGAGACAGAGACAGAGGCAGAGACAGAGGCAGAGACAGAGGCAGAGACAGAGGCAGAGACAGAGACTGAGACTGGGTCTGAGACATACGGCCGGCACATGACAGGATATGAAAAAGGAAATACCACGATAACAAAAAAATTCAAGATATAAATAGCACTGGGGAAAGTATTCAAATCAATAAGACATCCGTCTTATTACTGTTAGCCTGTTAGCATGTTAGCCTGTTAGCCTGTTAGCCTTTTAGCATGTTAGCCTGTTAGCATGTTAGCCTGTTAGCGTGTTGTGTCCTGTAGATGCAGATGTGTGTGTGATAGAGCTGCTGACTCCACAGAGACACAGAAAGCTGACTCATCACTGATCTCTCCTTCAGTGTGAAAATCCTCCTCCTCTTTCTCCCGGCGCTCTCTCTCGTGTCCGTCAGACTCTCACCTGATGAACGGTTTGCGGTTGTAAAGTGATGATGTCCCCTTTGGTGGCGGTCGTGGGGGATTGTACACCACAGGTCACTGAACACCAGGAGCCAGAGCCGAGCCCTGGAACACAGAGACACCAGCACTGTGAGTGGGATACACCAGCAGAGAGAGACCAGAGAGAGACCAGAGAGAGACCACAGAGAGACCAGAGAGAGACCAGAGAGAGACCAGAGAGAGACCAGAGAGAGAGACCACAGAGAGACCAGAGAGAGACCACAGAGAGACCAGAGAGAGACCAGAGAGAGACCAGAGAGAGAGACCAGAGAGAGAGACCAGAGAGAGACCAGAGAGAGACCAGAGAGAGAGACCAGAGAGAGAGACCAGAGAGAGACCAGAGAGAGAGAGAGAGAGACCAGAGAGACAGACCAGAGAGAGAGACCAGAGAGAGAGACCACAGAGAGACCAGAGAGAGACCAGAGAGAGACCAGAGAGAGACCAGAGAGACCAGAGAGAGAGACCAGAGAGAGAGACCAGAGAGAGAGACCACAGAGAGACCAGAGAGAGACCAGAGAGACCAGAGAGAGAGACCAGAGAGAGACCAGAGAGAGACCAGAGAGACCAGAGAGAGAGACCAGAGAGAGAGACCAGAGAGAGAGACCAGAGAGAGACCAGAGAGAGACCAGAGGAAAACATGACAATATCACAGCAATGTCTACAGAAACCCAAATAGAATGAGAACAGGTTTGCATTAGCATCAGCATTAGCATTATCAATATCAGTTCTCACCTGACTGTGACTCAGATGTTATCAAGCACATTCCTCACAGGCCATTCCCCTGCGTCACACACACTAATACACACACACACAATCACCTCACTGCACAATAACACACACACACACACACTACAAATACCAGGCATGCCTCTAGTGTAACATTATCCAAACGGCTGTAACCCACGGTGACCAGGGCGGTATTTTCAATTCAATGTATTTGTGTTTCGTCCTGAATCACAGCAGACGTCTCAGAGGACTTTAGTAAGTTGTGGATTCACCGACAACAGATCAGAGAATCAAACAGTTCAAACACAGGACATGCAATAATAAACACATAGGATCCAGGACTGAGGCTGTAGACCCAGGACTGAGGCCGTAGACCCAGGACTGAGGCCGTAGACCCAGGACTGAGGCCGTAGACCCAGGACTGAGGCCGTAGACCCAGAACTGAGGCTGTAGACCCAGGACTGAGGCTGTAGACCCAGGACTGAGGCTGTAGACCCAGAACTGAGGCCGTAGACCCAGGACTGAGGCCGTAGACCCAGGACTGAGGCCGTAGACCCAGGACTGAGGCCGTAGACCCAGGACTGAGGCCGTAGACCCAGGTCTGAGGCCGTAGACCCAGGACTGAGGCCGTAGACCCAGGACTGAGGCTGTAGACCCAGGACTGAGGCTGTAGACCCAGGACTGAGGCTGTAGACCCAGGACTGAGGCTGTAGACCCAGGACTGAGGCTGTAGACCCAGGACTGAGGCTGTAGACCCAGGACTGAGGCTGTAGACCCAGGACTGAGGCTGTAGACCCAGGACTGAGGCTGAAGAACCAGGACTGAGGCTGAAGAACCAGGACTGCTTTTTCCAGATTCAAAAAGGTGCAGCGCCAAAGTAAACATTCTCAAGATCACGTTTTAGGGCCAAACAAACAGATGAAGCCCCAGCGCGTTCACTCAGCAGCCGACAGCGGTGGGTGTGAGTCTGACACGGGAATGCTGACTCAGGGCTGACATAGTTGGTGCAGGGCCAGAGATCAGCCCGAGCCCAGAGGGAGAGATGTAATTGGAATGTAATGTTAATAATTCCTATACGTAGCTAGATATATCGTACACTGAAAGACTGTACTGTAGTTCACTGCTGTCTTCTGTTGTCTTCTGTTGTCTTCTGCTGTCTTCTGTTGTCTTCTGCTGTCTTCTGCTGTCTTCTGTTGTCTGCTGTGTGTCTTCTGTTGTCTTCTGTTGTCTTCTGTTGTCTTCTGTTGTCTTCTGTTGTCTTCTGTTGTCTTCTGTTGTCTTCTGTTGTCTTCTGTTGTCTTCTGGGCGAGGGGGTCGTCTGCAGATGAGTATGAAGGACACCGTTTCTGTGATTCTCTGTGGCTGCTTCCTGTACTGTATTATTGATATGCTAAATACCAGAGGTCTCATTGTGGAAGTACGACTGCCTCAGCCGCTCTGAGGGAGACATGTCCCGGACTGGAGCCTCAGCCGCTCTGAGGGAGACATGTCCCGGACTGGAGCCTCAGCCGCTCTGAGGGAGACATGTCCCGGACTGGAGCCTCAGCCGCTCTGAGGGAGACATGTCCCGGACTGGAGCCTCAGCCGCTCTGAGGGAGACATGTCCCGGACTGGAGCCTCAGCCGCTCTGAGGGAGACATGTCCCGGACTGGAGCCTCAGCCGCTCTGAGGGAGACATGTCCCGGACTGGAGCCTCAGCCGCTCTGAGGGAGACATGTCCCGGACTGGAGCCTGAGCTGCTCTGTTCTATGAAGAACTTGTCTCCTTGGATGCAACCAAGATTAAAAATGCAGGAACAATGTCTTATGTGGATGTGATTTTGTCAGGTAGGACTGTAGGTTAAATAACAGCATTAACAAGAGACCAGAGTGAGACCAGAGTGAGACCAGAGTGAGACCAGAGTGAGACCAGAGAGAGACCAGAGTGAGACCAGAGTGAGACCAGAGTGAGACCAGAGAGAGAGACCAGAGAGAGACCAGAGAGAGAAAAGAGTGAGACCAGAGAGAGACCAGAGAGAGACCAGAGAGAGAGACCAGAGTGAGACCAGAGAGAGACCAGAGAGAGACCAGAGAGAGACCCGAGAGAGACCAGAGAGAGAGACCAGAGTGAGACCAGAGAGAGACCAGAGTGAGACCAGAGAGAGAACAGAGAGAGACCAGAGAGAGACCAGAGAGAGACCAGAGAGAGACAAGAGAGAGACCAGAGAGAGACCAGAGGGAGATCCC